GCAACATGGGTAATGAAAGAAACAAATTATGGGATGCTTCAGACAGCACTGTATTATTTTTGGAAAGCTGAGAAAGAAACAAAACTAAGAAAAATGTTAGTCACAAAATTCAGAGCTCATGCTCCACTTCAGTCAGTTGCTACCCAGGTAAATGCAAGTGTCGCGAATGTTCTTTCTGTAGGGTGAAGGGTAAGATAGGGTTTGTGCTCGTTACTGGCCTAGATAGCCTCATTTGTAGAAATTGTCAAAGTTTGGAACTTAAGTGCATCTTTATTTATACCAAAAGAAAAAGCAATCAAAATAAGGGTTTCGGTATCATAGCTTTCAAAAGCCAGCAGTTCGAGCCACGGGTGTTGATATTTCCTAGTTCTCGGCAAGGCTTCTCAGTGACAAAGAAAAATCAGCCAAGATCACGGGAGTTTTCATGCGTACTCTTTCCAGCCGAATCGGAGAGCAAACGTTTTCATGTCAAAACAATCCAGGCATATTTTGTTCTTGTGGCCTGCTAAGTAAAGAATGAACAAGAGATATTCATTTATAAAATAGTGGCTGAGGGCCCGACATGATAGCCTAACAGCTAAAGTCATCGCCTTGCATGCGCCAGAATCCCATATGGGTGCTGGTTCTAATCCCATTGGCTCCACTTGCCATCCAGCTCCCTGCTTGTGGCCTGGGAAAGCAGTGGAGGAGAGCCCAAAGCCTTGCGACCCTGCACCTGTGTGGGAGACTCAGAACAAACCCCTGGCTCCTGGCTTCAATTTGACTCAGCTCTGACTGTTGAGCCACTTGGGGAGTGACTCATCGGAAGGAAGATCTTCCTCTCTGTCTCTCCTCCTCTCTGTATATCTGACTTTCCTATAAAAATAAATAAATCTTATAGTGGCTGAATTGCATAAGCTAAGTTTGGGAAATGCAATGACTGTTGTATTGTTATCTCTGTTTTTTCAGAGCTGCAGTCTCTGATCTGCCTGTCCCTTTTAGCCGATCAGTGACTTACATGCAAAGTTTTAATTTTACAGTGAAGAGCGTGGGATTAAGTATGAGTGCTTTTAAGCATGCCCAGTCATCAGAGATCCAATTGCAACTTCAAATGCAAAATCAGGACTTTAAAGACAACGCCAGAAAAATCGCTCTGCCCAAAATTCATTTCCAGTTCTCCTTACTTGCCATGCCTTCTTAATTTTGTGATGTGCAAATCTAGTTTTTCCTCACGAGCAATATTATAGCAGCTTATAACTTTGGCTCTAAAAGAAGCAGGGATCCAGGCGTCAAGCATCAGCTTGCTTGTCTCGGTCCCTCCATTGGCCAGGTGTCCTGTCCACACAATTCGCGACGTTGAAGTTGCTTCTTAGCATGTCTTTTTTCTCTTCAGCTGACTTGAAGTGTCTCAAGGATATTCTATTTCATTTTCCCAGTGTGTGGCACAAATTGAGGGTCAGTAAATGTTTGTTGAGTGCAACTAAGTTCACCCGGGTTAAAGTGTGTCTTCCTGCAGTGTGGTGCGCCCGTGGCGGGCTCCTCTGCCTGACTCACACCGCGGCAGTGAGCCCTGTGGCGGGGCCCTGCATCCTCCGGCAGGACACGGGCTTCTGCTTCCCCTCAACCCAGGAGACTAAGCAGCTATTTCTCCAAAATACCACAGAAACCTAACAATAACTGTCCTGAATTGGAGGGGAAAAAATACAAAAGAAAGCAGAAACTAAGCTGCATATAACAGCGAAATAAGTTGTTGCATTTCACATTTGAAATAGGTTCCAGTAACATGTGCACTTAGTATCTTACATTTCCTTCAAACATTCAAAGTTTGCAGCTCCATTTGTTAAGTGGTATTCAGAGAAATCTACTTAGTCTTTTAGCCACATTACTATTTCTGTTTATATACACAGCATGTGCAACTCAGAAAATTCCACTGAAATTATTTACATATTTTGAAAACTGGAATCTAAATGTCTTTTGCAAAAAAAAAAAAAGGACAGAGTCTTGAAACAGAAGGTGGGATGGGCTTGGGGAAAATGAAGAACATTTTTTATTGTGAAACTTTAAAGAATGATAATGAATTAAGGATGGGAATGTTGTAGGATGTGACGCCGAGAGAAGCCGTGGACTGGGAGCTTGGAGATTCCTTCCCTGACGTTGTACCGTTCGTTAGCTGTGGGATCTTGGCAAAGTGGTGGAAGCTTTGTTTTCTTGTCCGTCAATGAGTGCAGCAGGAGGAAGTTAGGGGGCCCTTCAGCCCGTCACCACGGACATAAAATAAGAGCTGCTCTGTCACATCGCGTAGGTATAAAAATGACTGCAGGGAGCTTCGTCCCTCCTTTCAACAGCAGAAACATTTCCCAAAGTTGCCTGGGCCAAAGTCAAGGAGAAAAATTCTTTTTCAGGACGAGAGGTGCCGTTGTAGCGAGAACATTCTACAAGTGCTGACTGGTTCCCTCTGAGAATCCTCAGGCGGTCATTGCGACCTTGCTTGGGGATGGTAAGGGAGGTTGTGACTGTGATCAGCTCTGGGTCAGAAATGCACTCAGGAGGAGCATCTGAAAGTGTCTTCCTTCTAGAAAGCCCTCCGGAAGGGCTCAGGGTCTCATCCACCGGCAAGACAGCTCTGCTCATACCTGAGCCAGGTTTCTGTTGAGTGTCATTTTTGTGCTAAGTTCCATATTTCAGTGTAGTTTATTAGTCACATTTGCATCTAGGCTAACTCGGGGCTGATTTTTCTCGGAATGTAAGGACACCTATTGGTACCTACGTTACTTATTTTGGAAGTAATTTCAGTGTAAGCCATGAACTTTTGAGGTGACCAACCTGAGTGTACTTCCAGGCTGATCAATCTAGTATGGGAGGCCCCCACTCCCCACCCGGCCCCCCACTCCAACACAGGTGGGAATGGGGTTTTTATTAGCTGCCAGCTCATGGTGAGGAGCTTCTGGCCTTAGTGCCAAGTGGGCCCAGGAACTCAACCAAGTGCCCAGCTTCTCACTGGCTCGCATCCCAGCCAGGAGACCTCTGCCTCTCAGCCTGCGCACCTTGGCGCTTGCCAGGCCCTTCCCACCAGGGATTCTCCCAGCCTCGCAGCTTGCAGTGTTGGACTGTCTGGAGACTCCTGTTGCCATGCCTCACACTCCAGCACAGACGTCCTGGCGCTGTGAACGCCAAGCTACACCAACCTGAGTTAAGCGCATCCATTAGAGTCCTGTGGTGTGTAATGCTGGTCGCCCCCGAAGGAAGCAGCCCACAGCCCAGGTCTCTCCCTGGCCATTTTGGTTTCTTCCCCATGGTGCAGGCACCTGCTGCTGGGATGCCCGTCTGTGCCAATGCCAGTTAGGGAGGGTTCCAATTCCAGGCATGCCAGCACGCTTACAAACTCTCCAAGGATACAACAGAAGGTTATGGAAAAAAAGAGTCGATCTGTTGTTTTCCCCACTGAGGATAAACTCAGAGGAAATGATGAGTCATGGAGGCACAACAATCGCTTTAGTTCTGTGACACGCAGTTATTTACTGGTAGGCAAATGGGGCTAGCTAGACTTTGTCGAAACTTTCCCTCCCCATTCCTCCCGTTAAAGTGCACTTTGCCTGCTGCAGCCCGAAAGGGAAAGATGGTGGAATTATGGCAACATGAACTGTGCACGGCCTTTTTGAAATACCATCTCTAAAACCTTCTAAAACTGCGCTGCGTTGCTTAATTAAGAATGAACAGCCCATGTCTTCCTTATGGAAGCAGTGTCCAACCAATAGGAGGTCCCTAAGTCTCTAGTAACAGAAATCCCTAACTCTTTTTTTTTTTTAAGATTTATTTATTTTTATTGGAAAGTCAGATATACAGAGAGAGACAGAGAGCAAGATCTTCCATTCGATGATTCGCTCCCCAAGTGGCACAACAGTCAGAGCTGAGCTGATCTGAAGCCAGGGGCCAGGAACCAGGAGCTTCTTCCAGGTCTCCCATGCGGCTCTCCCACGAGGATGCAGGGTCCCAAAGCTTTGGGTCATCCTCGACTGCTTTCCCAGGCCACAGGCAGGGAGCTGGATGGGAAACAGGGCCCCCGGGATTAGAACCAGCGTCCATATGGGATCTTGGTGCATGCAAAGTGAGGACTTTAGCTGCTAGGTTACTGCACGGGGCCTCCCTCACTGACTTTTAACCAAAGTGAGCCCATCGCACCTGCTGTGTCCAGAGTCCGTTTCCCCCTCGAGACCATGAGTTGACAAGCCACCCAGAGGTACCACGTGTAACAGGCCGTCTGTTCTGGAGAAGCATCTGTTGTTTTTCTCACCTTGTTGTGGCTGAGGGAATTTTCCATTCTCCTCCAGGGCCCTCTGTTCTTCTGAGTGAGTGTTATTTGTGTTGCTGCATACAGATTCCGGTTCACTGTCCAGCTTCCCTCCTCTCTGCGGCGCTGATTCATTTTCCCCAGATACTTGTTCATGTGCAGCTTGCTGTAGTCCCTTGATCTCTGTTGCCAACTGACAGAAAGGCATTTTTGAAGTGTTGGCAGCCTTCTGCTGGGGTGTTAGCCAGCTGTCCTTATTTGGCGTATTGGCAGAAGAGTCCCACTGTGCATCTGTGTAAAATGTACCCCGTTATTTCTATTCGTGCCTCTCAAGTGGAACCAGGTTAGCAAATGGTAGAAAATTAAATCCAGGTGACTTGTGATAAGAAATCTGTTCTGTGAAAAAAGAACGCTCAGCCATGAAGAATTCTCGGAATGAGATGATACAGCTGTTCTCGTTATCACACTTCTATGAGGTGCAGGCACCCTAGTTCCCAAGGCAAGGCAAGGCGATTCTCGTTAGCTTTGGATTTGTGTAAATTTTCTTTTTTTTAACAAGTAGAAACTCACTAAGGCATGAAGAAATTGGATCTTCCGAAGGACCCCGTCTCATAATCATCCGTGTGCTTCCTGGCCCGACAATGATGATGGGTAAATTTGCTCTGGGCTCATCATTTATAATTTACCCGTGGACTGCTGCGACTTGAGTGGCTTTCATGTTGTTTGGTTTCAGGAAACCTGTGATCTGGAAAAGCTAAAGCCTGAAGCCAGGCGATACTTGGAAAAGTCAATTAAGATGGGAAAACGGAATGGGCTCCATCTTCCAGCAGAAATACAGAACGTGAGTTTGTGTTTCTTGAAATAAAGCAAAATGCTTCAAAAATCAAAACACAGGCAAGCAGATGGATTCCCATAAGAAACAAGGTCCGCTTACGAGGGATTTGCTGTTCATTTTTGGTATTTGCTTTTAAGTTTTGCAACTCTGATTAATTTCCTGGTGACAGACACATAACTGATAAGTCAGCTGTTTTTCCCTCTCGTCCAAGCCATGTTTCATGCGTGTTAGGCATATTTTTCTTGATCTGCTGTGCCTTCTTCAAGACCTCGTTCCAGGTCTCAGCAGTTGATTTGTATTCTCACTCCTTTGATCACACAGAGATAGGGCACTGGTAATAAAATCCTTATTGATGGCGAGCTTTAAAACTGGCCCTTTGGAATGGAACATTCTTGGATTAATGTGTGCGCCTTAAAGGAAGAGGGATTGGCTGCTGGAAAATGGCCCTCAAAAGGTTTTCTTTCATCTGTTGCTGGTTAAGTCTTCCAAGGTCAGAAATAAACTTGGCTATGGAATTACCCTCGTTCTCTTTGGACAGGAAAGACAATCCATGTTTTATTTCCAGGTCATTCTTCTAGGAAGCAGACCTGGAAATAAGTTTGAAAAAACCCTGAGGAAAAACAAAAGGAAATCATGGGCCTGTCACAGCGGCTCACTGGCTAAATCCTTAGCCTGTAATTGCCAAAATCGTTTGTGGGCGCTAGTTCTTGTCCCAGTCGCTCCACTTGCCATCCAGCTCCCTGCTTGTGGCCTGGGAAGGCAGTGGAGGACAGCTCAAGATCTTGGCACCCTATACCAATGTGAGAGACCTGGAAAAAGCTTCTGGCTTTGGATTGACTCAGCTGTAGCCATTGTAGCCATTTGGGAAGTGAACCATTGGATGGAAGATCTTTTTCTCTGTCTCTCCTTCTCTCTGTAAGTCGTCTTTTCCAATAAAAATAAATTCAAAAGAAAGAAAAAGAATCCTGCCCAAGTGGTGTCAGCACAGCGGATATAGCTGTTGGCACCACTGGGACATGGGTGCCTTTCGCCCATGGACGTACCCTTTGATTGCCTTATATTTCTTTCAGCCCGGTGATGGGCTACTGGATTTGTTCTTCCTGCACTTCTACTTACTTTGTGTGCACTATGTGTTAGGTATTGCTTTTGCTATACCGCCTTCATCTAGACAGTCCCAACTTTAAAACCAGTGTGTAGCACAGCACCAGGCTTTGTCACGGGTGAAGACCACACACAGCCACACGTGAAAGTAGGCAGAGGGCGGCAGAGAATACTTCGTGGCACACATCCCTAAGAAAAAGACTTCCTGAGGGTCACATGAAAATTGGCTCTTGTGAGACTTACCTGAGTGACGGTGAAAAGATAAATTTATTTTTATTAGTAATGTGTTTGTATATTCATTTCAGGAAATCAAGTCAATGAAGAAAAGAATGAGCGAGCTGTGCATTGACTTCAACAAAAACCTGAATGAAGACGATACCTTCCTTGTATTTTCCAGGGCTGAGCTTGGTAAAACTGTGTTATTTTTCGAGATTAAATCATGTCATTTAGGCAACTGGTATCACCTTCACTTTTCAAATACAAATCTTAAAGTTCAAAGAATTCTAAAAAAAAAAAAAAGTAAGAAAGAAAGAAAATTCAGTACCCAGTCCCTCCACCCTTTCTGCAGAAAAGACAACCAAACTGGTCAAAATTAGGTTTTAGACTAACAAGAGTATATGCTATTTTTAGAGACAGGAAATTCCTTCCCCCCATAATCTTTCTTGCTAACTCATGCCAGTGTTTAGCAGCCTCTGGATTTTTTTTTTCTACTTTACAGTGACCCCCCCCAGATCATGGTTGAGCCCAGCCTCCTCTCTGTTCTGGGACTTACTTGGCTGAGCATTGCCTGCTCTCCCTCGCAACAAGTGTACTGCAACCTATTCATGCCTTGAATTACCATCTTCCCAGCCACCTGGCCCCTAACGGCCACCCTCCTTCCAACAGCATCCAAACGGTGTTAAAAGGATTGTCATTATTTTACTTGAATTTCAAATTGCTCCATAAAACTCCTAGAGCTACTCCGTGGCACCATGCCAATGCTAAATAAACCAATAGTGAGCGGAAAATTAACGTCAGGAAAAATGATTTTTTGCAGGTGCTCTTCCTGATGATTTCATTGACAGCTTAGAAAAGACAGATGATGACAAGTATAAAATTACCTTAAAATATCCACACTATTTTCCTGTCATGAAGAAATGTTGTGTTCCTGAAACCAGAAGGAGGATGGAAATGGCTTTTAATACAAGATGCAAAGAGGTAGTATTGTAAATATTTATCTTTTGTTTGCAGTGGGAGATTTTAATCAGAAGGTTGGGTCTGTTTATCAGTGTTGAGGTAGGATCTGAGATTGATATTCCCATTATGAGTGTAGGGGACGTCCTAACTCCTCTTTGCTCACAAAGCTCTCAGCTTCTTTGTTCACCGGCAACCTGTTTGTCACAGGCTAAGCTGTTGAATCAAATAAACTGGACAGCGCAGTCCTTTTCCAAGTCAGCATGCCAGATAGGGGAGGGCATTTTCCCCTCCTCCTCATGTGACTTCTGAGCTCATTCCTCGGTCTGAGCATTTCTTAGCTCTTGGGAAGTGGGCAGCAAAGAGTAGAGCAATGTCAAGTCCATTGGCCAAGATGCATTGTCTAACTATATCTAGCAGCAAGGAACACTGGGAAATGCAGTCTTTAGTTGGCAGCCAGTTGTTCAACTCAGGAGGTTGTATTCAAGAATTGAAAAGGAATTCTCACAGTCGGCTAGCTAGCTTAGTCTGATTCCCTCTGGCTGTAAGAATAACCATGGCCATGCTTTTGTCCACATGCAGACCGTCTTCCCATGTATTAACTCCCACAAGGGAGATCCTTGAGCTCAGAGCCCAGTGAATGACACACAGTTGTGTCCAGCCGTAGCTTCTCCTGTGCTAGCTGACTAAGAAAGAAGACAAATTATCATCTCTCACTCTTACACTGGTCTCCTAGTGGGATATGAATGGAAAAACCTCACTAAAAACACATACTTGGAAACAAACAGTGGGAAACATAGCAAGCATATGGTGATATTTTGTTTGTTTTGGAACAGGGAAAATTCAGAATATTTGTGCTCTGGTGAAAATCTTTGGTTTGTGCATTGGAATTCCTTAGATCTGCCTCCTTTTAAAAATGTGTTTCGATTCAGGGAGGTAGGGCTTAGGGGAGAGAGGGATATACAATTTTTAATGACTGAAACAAAAACCTAGAACCATGCTTCTGAAAGAATAATTTGTTCTTGCTCGTCTTATACCTGCTTTGGACTTGACCTTGACTGCCTGTCAGGACTTGAGTGGTCTCTGGTGTGGGCCTTGGCCTAGCACCAGAGTACCTGGGCGTGATGGCTGGCCTCAACTTCTGCTCCAACTTCCTGCTGACCCGCACTCCAGGCAGCAGCAGTGATGACCTAACCGATAGATTCCTGCTGCCCACAGATGAGATCTTACTCGAGTTCCTGGCACCTGGCTTCAGCACCACAGACTTCTGGGGAGTAAATCAGTAGGTGGGAACTTTTTTTCTGTGTCTCTCCCTCTCAAATACTAAATAAAAATGGAGAGAGAGAGAGAGAACAGAGTCTCTCAAGACGTCCTGTGGAAAGCAGTTTTGGCCAAGGGATAGGGACATGCAGAGAGTAGCTGGTGGGCATGAAGTTATCATAGCTATCAACCTCCGCAGATGGTCTCAGCTTTGACCTCTCGTTGACCTTCCCCGCTGCGCCTACAGCAGCCGACTCCAGCCGCCACAGCATGGCGGTGGTGTGGCGTGAGGTAGCATCATCAATTCTCTTCACAGTGTGACTCTGCACCAGAGTAGGAACTGGCTCGGGCTTCATGAAGCAGTGTTGCTTTCTGACAAGAATTGTTTATCAGCTGCACCCCAAGGCCTTTGCCTGTAAGAAGTCCTTCCCTTGTCCTCTGTCACTGCATCTCAGGGGACTGCTGTCCCAGAATCTCGTGGAGGCCCGTCTAAAGCCCGAGGGTTGCTTTAGGCATCAAATGCTCACAGGCCTCTCTAGGCCAGGCTTATTATAATAGCTTTGGTAATAAAATTTCGTTAGAAGCATAGGTGCCTTGTCTGTTTAATTCCAGTCAGGTGCTTATTAAAGTAGTTACACCCCCTCATGGTTTTTACCCAAACCCGCCGTGTAAGACTTACTAGCTCGTGTGTTTTGTCTGATGGAGTCTGCGTGCAAGCCCCCTGACCCAGGAGGTTTGAGAAGGCACACAGCATGCTCGGGTCGGTCTCCGCCGTTCAGGCTCAGAGGGATGCGCTGTCCCACTCTCTGAAGCCTCAGGTTGCAGCCCACAGGCAGAACCTTCTTCAGAATCTTTTCCTTTCATCTCAGCAAGCTGGCCGATTTTCACATGAGTCTGTCCTGTAATCTTTCTAAATGCGACAGCCAGCGGCCAACACCTGCCGGCATGATCGCTTTGCTCAAACACTGTACGGCAAAGATTTGGTAGGTGCGGGCTCTGCCCTCCACGTTAGGGCGGCAGTTTTTGCAGGTGATATCCGAGGTGTAAGGAGGATCCCGAGCCACCGAGGCTGCGCTGGCCGTCTGTCTGCTCCCTTGCCATTCCGGCCCATGCTCTGTGTTGGCAATAGCCAGCATCCTGTTCCTGGACTCTGGGCATGGGCCGGGCAGCCTTCCCAAAGCCCGCTGGAGCTCAGTGACTCAGACAAAACTAGGCCTTTTTTCTTCAGAAAGTAGATGGCAGGGTACAAGAGAATAGGGGAAGAAGGGGGCAGTGGGGAGAGGGAGAGGACGATGGTTGTTGACAGTTCCAGAGTTTAGGTTAATAGAAAAGTTATATAGAGCCAAATAATGGTTGCACAGCTGTGTGAGTAGAATACCATTCAAGTGTACGCTTAAAATGGCTAAAAGTGTATTTTAGCAAATATGTGCTGCTGCAACAAACACTAAAAGTAGATTTTGTGTTAAAATATTTCAGCATCATTTCAAATGGTTAGTCCAGAGCTAAAGGACAGCTCTGGCATCCTCAACATGTTGTTTCTGGGGGTTATTGTCACCGTCAGCTCACAGTGAGCAAGGCAGGGAGGACATGAAGAGGACCTAGAAACGTCACCCATCTCTTCTTCCACATCCCAGAGTTCCACTGTGTGGCACGTGACCACACCGAGGACACCTGGGAAGAGCGGTCACATGACCGTGCGTCCAGGAAAGCACTGAAGAGGAAGAGGGAGAGCATGTATTGGAAGACAGCTGGCACTCTAGAGACAAGATCAGGACATACTAGAAAGGATGAATAAAAATTCAACCCAATTAATTAAAGTTGTATAATTCCCACATGCATTTCTCTTACCCATGTTTCCATGCTAGCATTTTTCTAAGCATCTCATGCTCTTGTTTAGCTCTTTATAGTCACCCTGCTGTGTTGCTCCTCTTGTCTGGCTGGGGTGAATAATTGCCATAAACCTGCTTCTGCAAATATCTCTTGGAGTCTGCTCTTGGTTTTTGTTTTTTTAATCCAGAAGTGGAATTTTATAGTAATTTAAAAAAATTATCTGTTTTACTGTAAAGTCAGAGTTACAGAGAGAGAGATCTTCCACCTGCTGGCTTACTCCCCAGATGGCCACAATGGCCGGATATGGGCCAGCCTGAAGCCAAGCCCCTGGAGCCTCCTCCGGGTTCCCCACATGTGTTTAGGGGCCCAAGGCCTTGGACCATCCTGTGTTGTTCTCTCAGACCATTAGCAGGAAGCATGATTGGAAGCTGAACAGCCAGGACTTGAACCAGCACCCGTATGGGATGCTGGCACTGTCAGCTGAGGATTAGCGTTGGTGTGCTGCGCCACCGTGCTGACCCTGTATGGTAATTCTGTGTTTGATTTTTCTGGAACACCGTGCCATTTTCTACAGCAACTGCATTGTTTTTATCACCAATGCACAAAGGTTTTAATTTCTTCACATTATTTCCAAAACATTAGCTTCCATTTTTTTTTTTTTAGAATTGTCTCGAGTGTAAAGTTAAAATTGTCAGTTTATATTATCTGCATGTTATTACAATTTTTTATTTAATTTTTTTATTGTAAAGTTAGATATATGGAGAGAGGAGGAGAGACAGAGATCTTCCATATGTTGATTCACTCCACAAGCGCCCGGAACCAGGAGCTTCTTCCAGGTCTCCCGTGCAGATGCAGGGTCCCAAGGCTTTGGGCCGTCCTTAACTGCTTTTCCAGGTCATGAGCAGGGAGCTAGATGGGAATTGGGGCCACTGGGATTAAAACCGACACCCATATGGGATCCCAGCGTGTACAAGGCGAGGACTTTAGCCACTAGGCTACCGTGCCAGGCCCACAATTTTTAAAAAAATCAAAAACTTTTTAAGTATGGATACTTAGAATAACGTCTATGAGAATAAATGTGGAATCATGGTAGTCCTTAGGAATATTATAGTACTTTCAAGGTTATTAAGACCTCATGGCTCTCTCAGAAGTAAAGTTGTTAAGATGATGTGAAAATATTTCAGGTTATGAAACTGATGATGTGGTAACTTCATTTTAGTGTTTGGGATACGATAAGGATTACCCTTTGCAGTTTTTGTTGTTGTTGTTGTTTACCACCAGGAGAACACCCTGATCCTCCAGCAGTTACTCCCGCTGCGGGCCCAAGTGGCCAAACTCCTGGGCTACAGCACACATGCCGACTTTGTCCTGGAGATGAACACGGCGAAGAGCACGAGCCGTGTAACAGCCTTTCTAGGTTAGTTCTTCTTTCTTCTCTCTTCATGTACGTGGAAGGCAAAGCAACAGAGAGCAAAAGGCCTCTGGGATCACTCATTGCAGGGCTGGCACCGCGGCATCGCAAGCCAGGCCACTGTGTGCAGTACCAGCACGCCTCACGGGGGCCATTTCAAGTCCCAGCTGCAGCACTTCTGATGCAGCTGCCTGCTGATGTGCTGGGAAAGCAGCAGGAGACGCCCCAGTTCTTGGGCCCCTGTGTCCACATGGGAGACCCAGAAGAAGCTGCCGATGCTTGGCTGCTGAGCGGCCCAGTTCGGATTGGTGCAGCCACTGGGGAGCGAACCAGCAGATGGAGGAGCCCACGGGCTTTCCCTCTCTTTATCACTCAGCCTCTTAAATAAATAAGTAAATCTTCACAAAACCGAAACATTTTATACTCCAGAAACCCTCTGTTAATAATAAAGGAAAATAATATAACATAATATACATTTACTCCCCAGATGGCCACAGTGACCATTTTCTAGGAACTATATACCTTCTAAACATTTTTTCATAAGTCTTTTAAAGCCTTGACCTTGGGGATCTTTGTGGTTCAGTCACTGGTCCTCACATGTCCCATTTCCCTCGTCCAGGTCACCTTGGCCTTGGGGCCCGTGTTGTCGCTGGTCCTCATGTTCTATGTCCCACCCCTCGTCTCTGTGCTACTATTCCAGCTATCATCGTGTTCTCTCATCTTAGTGAAAATGGTTGAATAATTTATTCATGATAAGGATGCTAATTATTGTAATGATTATCTCTAATCAAAGTTAACCAAAGTAGGATTTGTTTACAAGTTTTCCTTAGCAGTTTGCTTTCAAACTTTATTCACCTGCAACAGTTTATCAGGATGTTTAATCTATTACTTTGGCACCCTATTATTACCTTAAAATGGAGAGATTTAATAGTGAATTAAAAATCAGCCTTTAGCCCAAAATGTATTCCAGTATGTTCTTCATAGCCATACCTTGACTTGTTCATATGTGTGCTAAAATCATGTATGACATGTAACATAAATGACACTTACTACTTATAGTTCACTTAGTCACTCATGGGACGTCTTATGAACTTCCCACTGTTCCTCAGTTTGCTACCAGGGACAAAGATGAGTTTCTTTGTTCAGCGAGTTGTCACTTTGTGGGAACACCAGAGATCAGAGATGTGAACAGACATTTCCATATAGGCCAGTACGTGTTACGTAACGGGATGGCTCAGGACCGTAACAGGTGTATAGAGAGCATTTCCTGCACTGGTGGCTGCTGTGCTGAAGTTTTTCCATAGCAACTACTTGATTAACCTACTTCCTTTGAAGTAGTTTTTCCCTCTAATTGGCAATTGGCATATTCCCATGCCAGTCTTCCTCTTGCCTCCTGTATTCATCTGTTCTCTTCCAGGCCCCGTCAAGACCGTTTGCTGTATTCTGCATGAGTCTCTGCTTTTTCTGCACAGCAGTCCCTGGCCTGCTGCGTCCTGCTATGTCCTGTGTCCTGACCTGCCCTGTCCCTTGCAGGATCATGTGCATTTTTATCTTAAGAAAAACAGGGAACACATTATGAAAGCTATACGCATAAAGAATGCAATATAGTCATTTAACCAAATACAAGTGTAATAGGTAAAAATTGACCTCGGTAAGTCAGTTGTGGTACACAGAAGCTTCTTCAAGTAAAACCAGGAACTGCTGTGTCCCCATAGGCCCACTTCATAGAAATCGAGAACTGAGAAACCCATGACTGCCAAACGTGTTGTGCAATTTCTAGATAATGTGGACCGCAAGCCCCATCCGATTTGTTGCCCCTGGCTTTTCTACCTCACTGTGGAGTGATCCTATGCAGGAATGTAGTTTCAGGAACTGTTTTGTCTCCTGAGTTATAACTCTCAAGTCCGAGTGCTTTGAGGTCAACTTCACTTGTATGGAAGCCACAAGGAAGCTGTGGCTTGGTTCAGACGACACTCAGAGGAAAAGGGACAGGCGGTCATAAGCCAAGTTCCCCTAAAGGGAAACAGTGCAGTGTCCCATAGGCTCATGCCTCTTTCCCGGTTCACCTGCGCTGCATCCCACCAGGGTGCGAGTGCCGGGCTAAAGCCCCGGCTGCAGGTCCCAAGAGCAGTAGACCACTCACTTTGTCCATTTCCTTCACAGACGATTTAAGCCAGAAATTGAAACCGTTGGGTGAGGCGGAACGAGAGTTCATTTTAAATCTGAAGAAAAAGGAATGTGAAGAGAAAGGCTTTGAGTACGATGGGAAGATCAATGCCTGGGACCTGCATTACTACATGACGCAGACGGAAGAGCTCAAGTACTCCGTGGACCAGGAGTTCATCAAGGAATACTTCCCGATCGAGGTGGTCACCGAAGGCTTGCTCGACATCTACCAGGAGCTGCTGGGCCTTTCATTTGAGCAGGTGGCAGACGCTCATGTTTGGAATCCGGGTGTCACACTTTACACCGTGAAGGATAAGGCTACAGGAGAAGTACTGGGACAGTTCTACCTGGACCTCTACCCAAGGTATGCAAAGCGCAGCTGGCAGGGACCGCAGGGAAACACTTCCTGCCTAGTTTAAGACTCATGTCCTCTGTGTTGCCCATCTGTGACTCCTCCCAAATGGGATTAAAAGTGAAGACCCGGAACACAAGGAATTCTGTCTGGTCCCATCAATTACTAGGCAAGTCACTTCGCTTTTCTATTACAGGTGCTGAACAATGGACATAGTAACATTACCTACTTTGTAGGGTTATTATAAGGGTTAAATTGGTTAATTAGATGTAAAGCATTTAAGACACTGAAAGTACTAAATAAATGTCAGTTGTTACCATTGTCATCAGGTTTCTGTGCTGCACCCAGCTAATTTAAAATTGATTTCCAAAACATTTATTATCCAGATTAATACCCAGATTATCCAGATACTCTGTCTGCCAGTACTCTTAAATTTATGGCCTTTCCTATGGAGCAACGTGGATAGATATAGGATTAACAAAACCTTTGTAGTTGGTCACTTTTGAGCTAGAATGCTTCAACGAAAGAACTTCTTTGGAAAAGTTTCTTTTTTGTAATTTGGAACTCGTTGGAACATTACAGGCTTGTTTCAAGATTCAAATTGCTCATTTCGGTTACCGATCAGGAGGGAAAATTAAAAATATTATCATTCTAGGGCCCGGCGCGGTGGCGCAATTGGTTAAAGGTCCTCGCCTTGCACGCCCGGGATCCCATATGGGCGCCGGTTCTAATCCCGGCAGCCCCGCTTCCCTTCCAGCTCCCTGCCTGTGGCCTGGGAAAGCAGTCGAGGACGGCCCAAAGCTTTGGGACCCTGCACCCGCGTGGGAGACCCGGAAGAGGCTCCTGGCTTCGGATCGGCATAGTATCGGCCCGTTGCGCTCACTTGGGGAGTGAATCATCGGACGGAAGATCTTCCTCTCTGTCTCTCCTCTCTGTATATCCGCCTTTCCAATGAAAAAATAATAAAAATAAATCTTAAAAAAAAAAAAAAATATTATCATTCTACCATCTAGGCATTGTGGACCCCATGATTACGTCATTCTTTGCAAAAGAATTTGGATCTCTTTCTTTCACGCGTACTTTCTAAAACAGTGCTCATCTACTGTAATTACCAATCTATTTCACTAAACAGACCAGAGGAAATTGTCATCCCCCCTCAGTCTGTACCACTTAAGTTTGTGATCCCTAACTTGAAGTACCAAGAAGGAGCCAGGGTACCTGTTGACCAGTAAGTGGACAGAGGCATCTTTGAACACCTGAGTGATTAAGTGCTAAAGAAACCACATCCAGGGTACAGGTAGCTCTTCCTGATTAAGAAGTATGGGCTGCCTGTGCTGTGGCATAGTGGACAAAGCTCCTGCCTCTGACGCCGGCATTCCCTTACCAGCATCAGTTTGTGTCCCAGCTACTCCGCTTCCCATCCAGCTCCCTGCTAATGTGCTTGGGAAAGCAATGGAGGACAGCTTAAGTGCTTGGACTCCTGTCCCCAGGCCGGAACCCTGAAGAAGCTCCTGGCTCAGCCCTGGCTTTTACAACTAGCTAGGGAGTAAATCAGCAGATGGAAGATCGATCTCTCTCTCTGACTCTTTCAACTAAATAAATAAACATTTTCTTTTTCAGGAAAAATGACTTAGTTGTGTGTGTGTGTGTGTGTGTGTGTGTGTGTGTGATTTTTAAGATTGATTGGTTTAATTGCAAGGTGCAGTCACAGAGAGAAAGGCAGAGACAAAAGGAGAGATCTTTTTCCTTGAGGTTAAATGACAGCAATGAACAGGGCTGGGCGAGGCCGAAGCCGCGAGCCTGGCACTCCGTGTGGGTCTCCTGTGCAGGGGCCCAGGCACCTGCGCTGTACCCTCTGCTTTCCCAGACAGCCTTAGCAGGGCACTGGAGCTAAAAGTGGAACAGCCATGCCTGCAACCGGATCTCTACTATGGAATCCAGTAGTGTAACCCACTGGATACAGTGCTACCACAAACTATATCTTTTACTTTTTATGGTGATTTTATATTCATTCATTCATTCATCTTTCTATAGTGACTGTCACACTAAGTGCACATAGAGCTCCAGTGTTCACAAATCAGAACAAATACTGTTATTTTCTGAGATGTTTTTAAAAGATTGATCGATGAATTTGAAAGGGTCGAAGCAGGGAGAGCCACAGAATCAGGCTTACTTCCATCCCCTGGTCATCCCCACATGGCTACAAGGGCCAGGGCTGGGCCAGCCTGAAGCCAGAAGTCTGGAGCTGTTCCTAGGTCCCCATGTGAGTGGTGGGGCCCGAAGCCTTGGACTGTGTGCTGCGGCTTCCCTGGACACGCTAGGAGGGAGCTGGGTGGGAAGGGGAGCAGCCAGGATGCAAGGATACAGGCATCACAGATTGCTCCCTAATCCTCCACATCACAGAACTGGCCCCTATGTATTTTATTTTATATTTACTTCACTCTTACTTAGTGCTTAGTACTCCAGCTGAAGAAGAAGCAAAATAGTAGTTTTTTAAAAAATAAATTGGACTTTGAACTGCATGTAAATGATATCAGTGTAACTTACAACGAGATGTTTTAGCAAAAGAAACCTTGGAGAGACTTTGCCTGCAGTGTTAGGGAAGCCACTGTGTATAGCTTTAGTTTTTCCGTTTTAGCAGAACAGCCTCCCTTCTCTTACATATGTTATGGCACAGCTCTACTTCTGATCCGGATTCCTGCTACTATGCCTGAGAGGCAGCAGGGGATGGCTCCCGTGGTGAGTCCCGACCATCTCACAAGGGAGCTCCAGATGGGTTCCTGGCTCCTGGCTTGGCGAGATGCAGCCCGGTCTATTGCAGCCATCTGGGAAGTTGAGGAGTGAACCAGTCAGTGAAAGATCTCTCTTCCTCCCTCCTTGCCTCTGTGTGTGTGTGTTTCAGATAAATAGCAATGAATAAACATTGCTTTAAAAGTGCAAAGTCTGCTTTCTGATCCAGAGTAGGGCTTGATCCCCCGAGAGAGGCCCCTGCCAGCGTTGCTTTCACGGCCCTGACGCGTGCTTCTCCTTCCCAGGGAAGGTAAATACAACCACGCCGCCTGCTTCGGCCTGCAGCCCGGCTGCCTGCTGCCCGACGGGAGCCGCATGATGGCGGTGGCCGCGCTCGTGGTCAACTTCTCGCAGCCGGCCGCGGGGCGTCCCTCGCTGCTGAGGCACGATGAAGTGAGGACGTTCTTCCACGAGTTCGGCCACGTCATGCATCAGATTTGTGCGCAGGTAAGTGGGCGGGTGTTTTGTTGTTGTTGTTGTTGTTTTGCCATGAATCCATCCTTTTTTTTTTCTCCCTTTTAACTGCTGTCAAATTTCCCACCTTTAACATGTTTATTTATTTTGTTCTAGAGACTGAACATGCTCAAAAGTTTCTTAGGCCTGCAAAAAACACAGATTTCTCCTTACCCTGCCCTCGTTGACCACCTGTTTTTGTTCAGAGGCTGCTTGCTCCGTGACGGACGAGCTGCGCTGGGTCGCAGCTTTGGGAAGGGAAAGCGGCCTGCTGCAGGTGCACTCCGCACGTCACGGAGGGGCGGTGCCATGATCTGCTTCGTTTCTTTTAATGATTTTCAGTTCAGTCAGAGCCTTAACTCTTCCCTGCAGCTCTTGGGTGTGGCCGTTAACCCACCTCTTGGGGTGCCCACACCCCACGTTGGAGTGTGTCAAGTGCGGGTTCTACTCCCCCTTCCGGCTTCCTGCCCCGGCACGCCCTGCAAGGCGGCAGGTGCGTGTTCCTGTTTCCCCAGTAGGAGACCTGAGATGCGTTTCTGGCTCCTGGACTTGGACTCGGCCTTGCTGCTGCTTTTGTGCGAACATCGGGAATGAACCAAAGACTGGCGTATGTCCATCTCCGTCTCTCTGCCTCTCTCTCCCTGTCATGTAAGACTTGAAGACACCCCTTCTCATATCAAACAGGAAAATGAAAGCAAAAATAAAATCTATCTTCCCTCATTCACCTTTCCTAACCTTAAATTAAAATCATAGATGACATGGTATGCCCATTCAAGGCATTTACCAGGAAGTATATAAGTGTACAGTAGAGAACAGATTTTATTATTTCTGAAAATGAAAAATATTTTCATTTTAAGCTTTTTTTAAACACAATATATTTAGCTAAGCCCAGATATTGCACTGGAACCATATGAACTTGTTAATCTTTAATAACCACTATGAACATTTGACAACTTCTAGTTCAGCGATTCAGCCTAATTTAAGTATACCAACAGAAGGAGTCAGTTCTCCAAATTTAAAATCCCTGTATGAGTTTTCACAGATAAAGTTAAGACAAAATAAACTTTTTTCTTAGAATAATTTTAAATGTACAGAAAAATTGAAAAGAAACTACAAAGACGGGCCTTGTACCTTTGTCTCTCTGTATTTTAAAAAATAGATATATATTTACTTATTTTTATTCGAAGGGCAGATGTATAAGGAGAAGGAGAGACAGAGAGGAAGATATTTTATATACTGCTATATTCCTCAAATGGCCACAACAGCCAGAGCTGAGCTGATCCAAAGCCAGGAGCCAGGAGCTTCTTCCGGATTTCCCACGTAGGTGCAGGAGTCCAAGGACTTAGGGCATCTTCTACTGCTTTCCCAGACCCTAGCAGGGAGCCGGCTCAGGGTGGAGCAGCCAGGACTCCAACTGGTACCCATGTGACACGTCGGTACTACAGACTGAAGATTAATACGCTAGGCCAGCACGTCAGTCCCGCCTTTTCTCCACTTTAACTGCTTACGTGATTGCCAGCTAGCAAGTCAATGTTGGTACAGTGCTGCCACTAAATAAACAAACTCTTCATTTGGACTTCTCTGTCTTTTTTTTTCTAAACGTTTTTCCTTTTTTACAATTGTTTTTATATGAAAGAGTTACAAAGAAAAAGGGAGAGACCAAGATCTTCCATCTGCTGCTTCACTCCCCTAACGGCCACAATGGCCAGAGCTGAGCCGATGTGAAACCAGGAGCCAGAAGCCAGATTTCCCACACGGGTTCAGGGCCCAAGGACTTGAGCTATCCTCTTCTGCTTTCCCAGGCCATAAGCAGGGAGCTGGATCAGAAGTGGAGCAGCTGGGATTTACACTGGCAGCCGTAGAGTATGCTGGTACCACAAGGATGAGGATGAGTGTATTACGCTACCATGCTGGCCCCTTGCTTATCTTTTACCCAAATGGTCTTACCCATACAGAGGGCCATTTTACATCAAGGCTGTCCTCACTGAACATGAAAGGAAAAAATTTGTTTCAGGTGCTGATGTCTGACCGACCAAGCAATAGGACACTGAAGAATTCAGAGAAGGGGATGCACTCTGTGACAGTGTGCCTGAGCAGCGCAGTAACTGTCATCTGGTTGGGGGAGTGAGAAGGTTGCTGTCAGTTCCGGTCCAACGACACCATCGCCAGTGGTGCCGTGCTTTTCCAAAACCATGAGCACCTCCTGGAAAACATCCCCAAAGGAATGCCTCACGATTTATACATTACATCCTAACAGTTGTAGTTCTGGAAATTAAAATTGTGTTAAAAAAAAAATACCTTGTGAAAATATTTAAATGGTGTCAACAGCTCAACAGGCTAATCCCCTGCCTGCCAGCACCAGCAGTCCATATGTTCATATATTCTAGTCCCGGCAGCTCCACTTCCCATCCAGCTCCCTGCTTGTGGCCTGGGAAAGCAGTCAAGGATGGCCCAATGCCTTGGGACCCTGCAGCCATGTGGGAGACGTGGAGGAAGCTCCTGGCTCCTGGCTTCAGATCGGCTCAGCTCCAGCCACTGCCATTTAGGGAGTTAACGAGCAGATCTTTCCCTCTGTTTCTTCTCTCTGTAAATCTGCCTTTCCAATGAAAAATAAATAAATCTTACATAAATACATATGTTTTTAAATGTTTTTCAATGGAGTTAGTATCTAGGTCTAGTTTTTTGTTCTGGTTTGTTTGTGAATGTCCAGCAGGGCCACATAGGTGACAGGCAGCAGGGAGAGCCCTTTCTTGTTACCTTGCCTTGTGCGGGGTCAGGGCTGGCATGCAGTGTCTCCAGCCCCCGGAGTAGCCCCTAACGATCGCTATAATCACACAGCTTTGTTTTGAAGACTGTTTCGTTCTTTCAGCATTTTACCTTTGCACCTGCCAGGGATGACAGTAACACGAGAATCGGTGTGGGTGAGTCAGGCCGGACCCAGTCGTTTCCACTCTCTTTGTGCAAACGAAGGAAATTTTTCACAGATCCTTTCATCTCCCTCCTTCAGACGATTTTGTTCAGTGTGTTATCACAGCCGGAAGCCTCCTGGCGCGTGTATTAGGTGGGCTCTCATTCATGTCCAGGCAGTGATGGACATTTTGTTTAGTTAAGGTAATTCTGGTTTCCCTTTCTTAAAAATCTATGAGTAAGTTGGTAAAGTTAATTCTTTTCTAAAATTTCTGACTTAAAGGATGTTCCTTAAGGTATGCGAGATCCAGTTGTGTAGTTTTGCATAGAATAAGCCATCCTTGCCAAAGAGTGAACTCTCTTGGGGGGGTAGAAGAATCCAGGGCCCCTAACTTAGGCGGCACACACACATACGCTCATACTCCTGAAATTACACATGGCGCTCCAGAGGGCTCACTGACCCCCGGAAGCCCAAACCATAAGGCATCCCCAGTTCAGAGCACCTGGTTAGAGCAGTTTCTTGGTCACCATCTGGTAACTTCACAAGGGAGCAATTTAAGGTTTTAGTCACACGTGTTCACATACCAGTGACCTGAAGTGCTCTTGACACAGCCCTCCTGTCCCCTCCGTGTCATAGGCTGCCCCAGTTGTCCGGGGCTCTTTATGCTGTTTTCACGTTTTGAGTCTGTGAGGTCACTGCTGTAGTACTGGAAAATGCTTCCTTGGTCCTGTGACATTTTCAAGCTGTTTGACTCATGACTGAACTCTATAAATAGTGCATCCGTCAGTTTGAGGTCTCCCTCCTGAAACAGTCAGTCATACTCAATTCTGAATGTTTTGCCTACCCTCATGCGTGAACACAAAATGTGTCATTCTGATGTGTAGGTGTTGATCCAGTCCTTTGCTTGCTCGTGTCCTCGTGAGATTATCTCTCAAAAGCCTTTTTGTCCATTTATCCTTTCAAGATGTCCTCTCATATCTTAAGAGCATTTAACCTAATTAATGTGGAACCAGTGGTCACTGGTTTTGTCTTTAGGGGACAAGGATTCACGTATTGTTAGCTTCATAATAATTCAGGACCCTTTTATACCAACCCCAAGTGGTTGGTAGTGGACACAGAGATTCATAACTTCTGATTGGTACCCCTTCCGACTTACGTTAGAGACACAGAGTGAACAAAACAGTTGCCATCCAAGCTCAGTAGATGTTTTGAAGATTTCTCAGCTCAGCATTGACGTGTTCCAGTGTGGCATTTGCTGCTCAGTAGAGCTCGTTTGAGCTTGTCACAGTCATATTTAAATGTGTCAGCAGGAAGAGCCAGTTTTCCAAGTAGATGCACTGGTTCGATGTGTCTGCTATCGGCGCATCCATCTCATCACGCAGAAGGTGAGTTTCACTCATGTTTTCTGTGTTGACACTCTGGACTAGGTAATTTTGAAGATAGCCATCTAGAGGTAGGAACTCCAGTATCTGTCCTTCTTTCCTGGCTTTGTTGTGGCTTGGGCTGTCAGCAATCCCTGACCTTTTTAACTTCTATAGAATAGAGGACTGATGCCTCACCACCAGCTCCATTGTGATACCTTTACTGAGTTATGCACTAAAAGTAATAATGAGTTGTGAACGTTAAAGAGACTATTGTTTTAAGAAAGCACATCAGAATTAAAGGGGATAGACAGGCCAAAAAAAAAAAGTGTTTTAAAACCATCTGTTAATTTGCTCTAATAACTAATGAGCATTGAGCATCTTTTGTGCTCTAAAAATTTGAATGAGATGCTACTGTAGATAATACGCCCAATAGCAATCAGGAAGACCCCCTGGTGTTACAATGAGAGCGTAGACTCAAAAACTACCTGTGCATTCATGGGGTTGGGCTGTGTGACTTGGAGTATTGTGGAAATTAAATGTGTGAAAAGACACCAGGCCAATCTCTACTTGACCTTATTGCTGTGATTATGTATGATTTAACATTCGGGCATCAATAAGTAGTATATAACTCGAAAAGAGGAAAGCACAGGGCATGATGAAGCAATCTACGGTGACTTCAGCTTCAAGAGAATTCACCATGGTGGGCCTGCAATGACTTTCCT